TGACCAATTCTTTTCTATTTGTAGTAATTTCGGCGCTCATACCTGTACCTGCCGCCAGAAATTACTAGAGAATTCTCCAAAAGGGTCGAATAACTAGTCCAGGAAACAATAACGCAGTCGACGAGCCAGTGCCCTGTGAGTTTTTATTAGACGAGAAAACGAACGATTTTTCTAGACTGGTTGAATGATTCACATAATGGATGGTACGTCATCAGATGAATTCTACGTCATCAGATGAATCCCCAGACCCTTCTAGATAACTGTATTTTATATATAAATAACAGGACTTTCATTGAGCAGTTAGTCAAAAAGAAGATCGCGATTTCGCGTTAAAATGTAACGAACGTATAAATTATTTAAGTGTAAAATAAATTAGTAGGAAATAAAGACTTTTGATAAATTATCGTGAGTTTTAATAAATTAGAATAAAGACAATAAATTAGAACTATAAAAAATATACATATCTATTATATATATTATATTTATATATATATCTATATTATATATATTTATATATATATATATATATATATATATATTTTATATATTATATATATATATATATATATTTATATATATATATATATATATATATATGAAAGATTAAATCTTTTAGCGAAAGCCGCTATCGCTTTATTATATTAAAATGAAAAATATATGGCCTAGGAGACAAATTCGTTAAAACTTCCCGTGCTCGAATCGGTATCACTTAAGTGTTATGATCATTTCGGTCTATCCCAGCCATCGTCAGACACTTGGGCTGATACAAATTCAAACACGGAAAGTAAAACGAATGTCTCCCAGAACTTCACTACAGCGTAGTTAGCTTATATATATATATATATATATTATATATATATATATATATATATATATATATATATTATATATATATGAACTATAAGTATTTGCTGACAACAAGGAAGTAAATTTTCAATATTGGGTTTGCAGCAATAAAAATGATACGTGTACTCTTTTAAATTTTTATTCCTTACATTGACACTGATGTGTGATGTGACACTGATGTGACATAGTGTCAATGTAAGGAATAAAAATTTAAAAGAGTACACGTATCATTTTTATTGCTGCAAACCCAATATTGAAAATTTACTTATATATATATATATATATATATATATATATATATATATATATATATATATATATACATATATAAAGGAGTACGACCGTCAAACAATTATTCAATGCAGTAAGTTTCAAAACAAAAATTCTTTTGATCAACGAGGATATCGGTCAAAGGAGAAATAATACAAGGAAATCACAGTTCCATTCTTATATTTGAAGACGTTTCGCTTGTGGTGTTCACAAGCTTCATCAGTTCAAATCTAAAAAATATTACAATGATGGTAGGTAATATTATACAAAAACATGGAAAATTAACTTACGAATGTAGAGTGAAGAATAAAGGGTGTTAAACAAACACACCATTCCCTTTGTTAACTGTGGTCAAAACATTAAATTTTTGGTAAAATTATAGCTTGAAAGTTTCTATGTAGTAGCATTCGTATTTTTCAAAGCGAAAAAGTTTGATTTACAAATAAACGACAGAATAAAAAACTACTACCAAGCTTACTAAAAAACTCGTCAACATTACACGTAAAAAACTAACTTACAACAGTCAAATGTAGAAATAAAATAACAAAGTGACTGATATTTGAAGTGAATAAGTGATAAGTGAAGTGATAAGTGAAGTCATAGACCTGATTATAAACATGTTAAAATTCTTTGCACAGAAAGCAACCATTTCAAGAGAACCTTCCTTGAAATGTGCCACATTTTCCTCAATCCTTCCACTATGAATAAACATACGGACATCGACAATCTCAGTTTGGTGTACCATTCTCTTCTCTCCAATATCAAATGAAAAATTTTCGACGTTATTTTCGTCATCCAGACTCTCTCATTGCCATTTTCTTTTGATCGTTTATTACCAAATTCACTTATTCTTATTTTCAACCTTTTACATCCCTTACTGATTCATACCTAATTACATAAACCCTCTCTTAGACAATGTATATTTTCCCTCCGTGACTAATTGTCATTCCCAATTCCAACCTATCTTCACCACATATTGGTTTTGTAGACATTTCTACTTAACAATCTATTTGCTTCAGTGTTCTCTGCGTTGTTAGGTTTGCGTTTCTGTGTATTGCGCCTGCTCGTCTCATTCTCCCACAGAAAGTTGGATCAACTCAGAACTAATAAATCCACACATTCTATTGCAAGGAAAATGCCGGCAATTTGACTTTCGTTTTTCGAGTCCGAATCCGTTAGATGGAAATGCGCCCTAAAGTGAAGTTCAAAATTTGTTTGTTATAACAATTCAGCTCTGTGCCAGTGCGTTTTAGTCACTTTGTTATTTTATTTCTACATTTGACTGTTGTAAGTTAGTTTTTTACGTGTAATGTTGACGAGTTTTTTAGTAAGCTTGGTAGTAGTTTTTTATTCTGTCGTTTATTTGTAAATCAAACTTTTTCGCTTTGAAAAATACGAATGCTACTACATAGAAACTTTCAAGCTATAATTTTACCAAAAATTTAATGTTTTGACCACAGTTAACAAAGGGAATGGTGTGTTTGTTTAACACCCTTTATTCTTCACTCTACATTCGTAAGTTAATTTTCCATGTTTTTGTATAATATTACCTACCATCATTGTAATATTTTTTAGATTTGAACTGATGAAGCTTGTGAACACCACAAGCGAAACGTCTTAAAATATAAGAATGGAACTGTGATTTCCTTGTATTATTTCTCCTTTGACCGATATCCTCGTTGATCAAAAGAATTTTTCTTTTGAAACTTACTGCATTGTATATATATATATATATATATATATATATATATATATATATATAATATATAGATTCTTAAAATGACATATTAGAGGGAATTTTATTTGCCCCAATAAAAATCAGTTGCATAATGCGAATAATGTTTATCGTTTGCAAAGTCGGGGATTTGTTATGATTCCAAATCAGATCGAAAATAAAATAAATTTTTATTTTAAAAATACCATATGATAAATATTCAAGACAGTGTATAGGTTAAAAATTTATAAATAAAGGGCTCGGGTGTAAAAAATGGTATGTGACATTTTTTAAATGTTAAAGGAGACACTACAGAAAGTTTATAAAATCTTATGTAAGAAATATGTAGTCTAATTACGGTAAATTTGGGATTGAAAGTGCAATAATACCATTCGATAGTACAGTAACAAATTTGTGTGCACTGGATTTTATTCAAAGATATTACATAATATATAAGTTACATAAACAATAAAAGTTTTTTGCAGAAAATGTCCTTAACTAAAAAATAATTCAAAACTTAAAATTCAAGCATATAATAGTCATGACGCACTGAGGGTATCCATGGTAAGCATGATAGCACATGTTCAAGTTTTCCAGACTCAATGGGAAGCTAAGCTTCATATTTCCTTTCTAGTTTGTTGAGAAACTGTTCTTTAAATCGAACCGGTCTGCCTCTTTTTTTAATTGAAACACTAGTAAAATGACCACTATATGAGTTCGATAACTCTATCATATCAAAATGTTCAGCTGAAAATCTCGTTCTAATAGTATTTCGGATACTCATCTGATGGTTTTGGCTGTTGGAAATAATTCCTCATATCAGAAATTTTTAAAAAGTCTTCCTGTTTCATACAATATACTAGGAATGGTGTTTTTTTTTTCTGTGACGCAAGTAAAACTGCTTCCCATTCCTTTGGAGAATATACATATTGGCAGTGAGCTCTAATATATTTTTCGACTAGGGCAAAATCTCGATTTGAAGGAAGCAATACAATGCTTCCGTCAAATCAGGCATACAAGCCCAACTTGAGGAAACACATGAATAATTACTTTGAAACGGCCTTCTGCTACTAGACGAATCCAAACCGAGGCAAGTGACCAATTCTTATTTTGCCCACTGCAGTTGTCAGAAATGATGACAATAAGTTTGGAACCTTTTATATCATTATATCATGGGATAAAAAATATTTAATTATACAGCTTCCAATCTCCTCAGCTCCTCTGCCAGCTGTTGCCTCATCCCACATGTAGAAATATCCCTGGGAGGGATAGAAACTGTGGATGCTGAAATTGTAACAAAACAACTTCGTTTTGTAAAAGATTGGTCCTGTCGATAATTGGCAGAGCCTGCTAAAGATAGAATGTTATATCATAAATTCCATCAGAATAAATGTTGAGGCTTCCAGAGTCGCTTGTTTTATGGCGTCCTGGCCAGCATTGGCTTTTCGGTGATGCAATTCTTGTTTAAATTTTAACTCTTGTATAGCACCTTCATTAGTTTTTGAAGCGGCATTCTTAAGAGCGACGTTTATGCTGTCACCGCAGGTATCTGTTTGTGGATTTTTAAACTTAATAATAGATCCTTCGGTAAATATACGTCTAAATTTGTCTGAAGATACACATTTGCTGACAAATCGATTTGTTGATCAGTATATTTTGATGTGAACGTTCCTTCTCATTATTTACACATCATTTAATACTTTATTTAATTAGAAAGTTGCGAATTATTTCTAGAGGACGGTTTTTTGTCAGATATTTTAAGAAAAATATCAGGAGCCATTAAGTGCTCCCTGGATTCCAGGGACAGAAAATGTCAATGTAGTAGGGTTGCTTCTATTTAAACTAGATTACACCAGTCAGTGAATGGCAAAAAGGTTTTGAATTAACCACAGTTATACGAAGGGAAATATTTTTCATTCCGTCTCTCCTAGCAGGTCCATCTGAACAACTAAAAATAGCGAAACACGTGTCATAGAATGGCTGGTTTGACGTGACGTGAATCACATGTGACGTGATTCCTTCTCGTATATAATTTAGTGTACACACAGGTTCATGTAAGGGTAAAAGTTTCATATAATTAACAATTTTCATAAAAAAGCAATAAAAACTAAATTATCTAAAATATAAAAAATTATAATATTCTTATATTTTTCTACTCCTATATTCTTACCTCTAATTGTCTAACGCAGCTAACGTAAGCTAATCTGGATTGTATATCTGGCAAGTTAGGAACCTTTACTGGTTGGGTAAAAGGGTTCCATCTCTTCCACAATAACCACCAACCGGATAGATCGTCGCCGTAGTTGGTCAAATCTTGATCATCCACGGAACCAACATCGATTGCCAATATATGATTTGCTCCAAGACTGCGCATAACATCGGCTATGAAAAGTTTTAAAAGTCGTTTGAAATTGCTCTTTTTTAAGAAAAGCATAATTAAAGCAGATTTTGAATTGACGTTTTAAGCCTATGTAAATTCTTTAACATCATTAAATTTATTTTATCATCTTGACTGCTTGTTTCTTTTATTCAACCATTTAAGAAGCCAATCATTATCACAATCATAATAAAGATCTATATCTTTTCTATCTTTTTGTCCATATTTCTTTCAATTGTTCAATTGTATTCAATTGTATATATTGTTAATGTTAATTATTAAAGCTACTTTTTTGAGTGAGAATAACATTCATTTATAAAAATAATATTTTTTGTATTGCATTTTACTAATTTACCCTAACTCAACAAAGAGAAAACAAATAGAAAATAGACTACTATTTTCTATATATTATCGTTAAAGGAATAAATACTAGAATGCAAATAAACTTTTAAAAGAATTCCTAAGCTATTTTAGTTACAAATGCAATTTCCTCTTAATTGAAAATGTAGTATTTTTAAGAGTTTTACTACTACCAGCAAAATTTCTTCTGAACATGTTTCTGAGTGTAGTGTAATTGGATACATATATGTTTGCAAATATTGTCTCTTTTTGTTATTTGAAATAGTTTCTTTTTTTACCTCTCCTTTAAGAATAAAGATTGGCAAAACTATATTACCGAAAAGTCAATTTACCTAATATTATTTAAGATTAAATTTGTTAAATTACAAAAAAAAGAACAACCATAATGATTTTCGGATTTAATCTTTAGAAACATATCAAAAATTTTACAGTTTCTAATTAATAATACGGACTTATAGCTGTACCTTGGAATTTTTTATAACTGGCATATAGGCGTAGAAAAGTAACGTGATTAATTATAGTTTATTAACTAGTATGAAATCTGGTCTATTATGTTCCACTGTTTGGTGTGTGAGCACCGTGCGGTCCCAGATACCTTGTAGTTGTCATTCTCAAGTATACTCTCAGGAACGTATTTATAATATGGAAGATGGTTTGTTTGAAGAAGTCTCAGTTTGATAGCTCTTGATGAAGGATCTTTCCTACTGAGTCATGCCGTTACTTATATTCAGTTGCAGCAAATGCTGCAAACGAAGCAGCTGTTTTACCCTTCGTATAAACTCAGTAGTTATCTCAGTTTTCATTTGCTTATGGTCAATCTTCCGCGGTTGCTTTATTCCTATTATTTAGGTATTTAAACATATCATTTTCACCCATCTGGTTTCGATGTTCTGGTCGTTTTGCATATCGAATCCGCCGGGCTGAAACTTTCCTTTGATTATATTTAAGACACGACACTTGTCAAGACCGAAGTGCATACTAATATCATTAGAGACATTTTCTACTGTTTTTAGCATCTGATCCAGGTGGCTTCGAGTGAAAGCCAATCGTTTTAAATCATCCATATACAATAGATGATTAAGTCAGTTGAGTTCAGTATCTGGGATATGGGGTTCATCACTAGATAAAACCACAGGGAGCTCAACAAATCTCCTTGAAATAGGCTCCGGTTGATTGCAATATTTTCTACATGCTTGGTTAGAAATGGCAGAGTCGATGATAAATAGTTCTTTGCAGTCCATGGAACCCTTAGTGCATCCTTTCTGTTGAGGCTCTATGATATTGTTTAGAGCACAGTGATGATTGATACGTCGGGCTACACAGGATGTGACCAATTTATACAGAGTTGGAAGATAAGTAATTAGGCGCTACTTGGTTAGATCTTGGGTATTATTTTGATCTTTGGGAATTAAATAAGTTGTTCCCTGGGTTTGGAAAGATGGTATTTTTCGCGGATTAGAAATAGTGTGATTAATTATTGCTGATAAGCACTCATGAATACTCCAGAACTTCTTAAGCCAGAAGTTCTGAACTCCATCTGGTCCAGGAGATTTCCAGTTAGGAAGCTCTTTGATAATAGTTGAAACTTCTTCAGTAGTGAAGGGTTCGTAGGGAGCAGTAACGTAGTGTTGGCAGTTGTGCGCCGTATCTTCGATCCATCCAGCATTGGTGTTAAGAGCAGCTGTGTGGAAAGTTGATTTCCCCAAAACAAATTATTATTATAGCTAATGAATTTCTTGTATGTAATTTATTGTAGTTCACTTCGATTTTTATTTTATTTATTTCATCGTTTATTTCATTTCATGTTTAGCATTCATAAATATAGTACCTTTTATGACATGATACTTTTTTTCTATTTACATAAACAAGTTAGTGTGTTTTTTATGCCTATTTATATCGTTACCGTTTATAAGTTATACTATTGCCGTTTATTATTATTTGTAAATCATTTAATTCTCGTTTTATTAATAGAAAGATCAATTTATAGCACAGTTTTTACAGCGCAGTAGATACGCGAGAACGTTAACTTTTAAAATTTTCAGTTATTTGTATGTCAATCATTTTCTTTACCGATCTACCAGGAAAGGAAATCAAAACGTGTTCGTAGCGATATAGAACTTAATGTCGATTAACTAACTTTTCGGTATTATAAAATGTTTCTAATCTAAACAGCTACTACAAAAACTTACTATTACCTGGTACATTATTAACGTAACAACCGTCTGAAATCATATGCCCGTCTGTAGGATCACAGATTGGAGGAAAGATGCCCACTATCGACATACTCGCCCTTACATACCTCCACAGCTGACCTAAAGATTTACTAATGCAATTTAGAATAGAGTTTGAGAGGCTTTGTCGATTACAAAGCGCAAAATATATTCTTTAGTCACAATGTTAAGAAATGAATATAGGTCGTTTATTCAACGTAAAAAGGAACCAATGATAAATTTCGAAAATAAATCAGAATTGTGACAAAATTCAAAACACTTTTATTTTCGCTTAACCTGATTTAAAAACATATTCAATAAAGAATATAACTGTTTATAAATGTAAAAAAAATCCTAAAAAATTAAGCGTAAACCTTGAAAATATATAATTACAAAAAATACTCTTCCTTGGATGAATATATTATTTTACCAATATACAAAATTTACTATTAGCATTTAAATTTTTAGTTACAAGTATTTCTTATATTATCTAAGTATACAATTACATAAAATAGCAGTTAAAACTGGAATAAATTCTTTAATTTTAAATAAAATAAGTACGTTAGGTATAAGCAGTTGCAATATATATATATATATATATATATATATATATATATATATATATATATATATATATATATATATATATATATATATATTTTTTTTTTATTTTATATATAATTTTTACTAAGTCTCTAAATGTTGTTAGTTATTTAATTGTTTATACAATATCACCATATGATGTCCATTTATTTGAGTTTTTGTACTGCCTTTTTAATACCATTGACAACTACATATTTTTTTTAAGGTAACTATTTAACATCTTCATGAATGTGTGGTACTCATAATGTAAAAATTTTTAGATGAACTGATGATGCTATCAGAATTCGATAGCGAAACGTCTTCAAAATAGATGAAGTAGTATCAACTTTGTCTTTTATTTCTCCACCTAGTTAACCGATAATTGAACCCACCACTCATCTGAGTGATCCTTATATATATATATATATGTATATATATATATATATATATATATATATATATATATATATATATATATATATATATATATATATATATATGTTGACGCATATCACTTTAGCTTTCTTGTGTATCATAACGCCCTAAAATATCAGTTTTGTACTGTACATTTTAAATATTATAAATATTATAGGGAGAGAGACTGTTATCATCAAATATTATTTACTTTCCTGGGACTTGTGCTGCACTTCCGCCTATTATTAAGTTGAACCTAACAATGTGAAGGTAACTTGGTTTTACCCAAGGTTCTATTTTTATTCAGGCTGTGGCAATAAACAACTATTTCAGATAGTTGTCTAATAAGTTTTTTCGGAATCTCCAACGACATCCGAATGCAGGTTCTCAATAGTCCCTAACTCACAACTCGTGATGAGTGTTTCAAGGTATCTCAACTTCATTCCTTGTTGACCAATATGATATAATATATATATATATATATATATATATATATATATATATATATATATATATATATATATATATATATATATTATTATACTTCTTCTTCCTCAAACGCGGAAGGAACAAAAATAATTAAGGAATCCATCGGAAGTAAGTTTTTAAGAAATCTGAAGACAAAATATGTATTAATTTTAAGATAGAAAGTTTGTATATTTGTAAATAGATAGATTAGTACCGAAATTTTATGACTTATAAAGAACTAAGCCATTCTAAACGAGTTATTGACAAACCATTTGTACATTATAGAAAATAAGCTGTTACCTGAAGGATTAGTCCGGTATTGTGTTGTATAAATCTTCTATTATGACTAAGGCAAAAATCTTTGAAATGTATAAAAATTATTTGTTTACAAGGAAATGACCATTGTTAAAAGATTAAAGTTCCTTGCTTGAAAACGGTAATTAGCATTCCAACAAGTGTGGTAAACAAATTTGGATTTTGTGATGAGACGATCTTTTTGGAAGGGGAAATCGACAGACCGAGGGTTGATAGAGTTTTGGTTGGTTCGAGAAGACAGTGATGTTTGAGTGATCGAAAAGAAAGGTTGCGTCTCGACAGGCGGTGTGTTCGTGAGTTGGAGGCCGGCATTGTTAAGTGGATAAAGTTACCAGTCTTGTTAGCAGAATTGTGGAAGAAGTAGATTGCAAGTCGATGTAAAGAAATCCTTGAATCTAAAGTGTGCAGTTTCTGGAATACGTGTTAAATAGTTGTGGCACCAGGTGAGAAAAGAGATCCTTGGGTCACGAAGAAGTTATATGAATGTTTGAAGAAGTGATTTTCGTGTGTTAAGTGTTGGAGAATTGAGTCAGGAGGTTAAATTAAGTCAGTTAAATTGGCTGAAGGAGCAGATACTGAAACAAGAAGCCGAGGCGCAAGGTGGAAGAACACATTGCTGTGGAAGGTGGACAATTCTTTGTGTGGTCCTAAAACAATCCAGGGAAGAAAGGTCAGATATTTTCCTTTTTCAAGTTGAAAGGTGTGTAAATCTTAAATGCGATTTGTTTACCTCATTGTTGTTACCAGTTTAAAGCATGATTAGACCTTTTTACGTTTATCAAATGTTTTAAAGTTTTGTTTCCATAATAAAATAGATTTTTTAAATATAAGGAAGATAAAAGTTTATAAAGGTATCCAAATTTAAATTAGTTTCAAATTGTTTTGTCTCAAGAAGAAAATAAGAATTAAAATTTTCTTTTTGTATTAATTTCATTACATGCATATTCGCTGATTGAAAAGATAACGGCAAATTTAATAATTGTTTTTTTTTATAAAATAAAAAATATCTGTATTTTATGTATTATACTTTTTATTATTATCCTTTGTTTTTCCTATCCCGATAAATACAACTAGAAAACTTTGAACTCACTGAACATAAGAAATATCAGAAGTTTATTTTTTAGGACATTGATAACGAGAAAGTATATTTTTGTGATTGTTTCAAGTAAATAAATTAAAATCAAAAATACAAAATCATAACAACTGTCGCCCAAACGTGTGAAGCTTAGAAAGTATTTCTAGTTGGAATTTAAAAGGATAGGGAAAGAAAGCAGGTTGATTGAGAATTTATTTCCGATGGTCAAAGTTTATAATAACTGCATTTTATGACATAACATTTCAAATTTCTCTAGGTACAAGTTTTGCATGATATATTTTATTATATTTGATTGATTTTTACAATTGACAAAAGTTTTAAATTTTATTGCATTTATTTAAATTTATTGCATTTGGGATAAGAGAAAAATTTTTTCGTCTTTGCAACATTACTCGAATTTCATATTTGGCGGGGATATTATTGCACAAATTTAAGAGTTTCATATCAGGCGGGATAAATTTGAACTACATGTCGATCACGAGAAGCAAAAGCAAAGAAAACAAAAAACAAGAAGAACATATAGAACAAGAAGACATTTTTGAAACAACAATCATGGCATCAGAACAACAGGAATTGTCAGGAATAGAGAAAATGTTACAAATAATGATGCAAAAAATGGATAAAGTGGATAAAACAATGGAACAGAATCAAAGAGAAACTCACAAGAGAATGGAAGAAAATCAACGTGAAACGAAACAAGCAATAGAAAAAAACCGACAGGAAACACAACAAGTGATAAAAGAAGTTAAAAGTTGCTTAGAGAATGTAAAAAAAGAAATGGCAGAACAAGAGGTGGAAATTAAAAAAATGAAAAACAAAATGGAAAAGGAATTAGAAGAGTTAGAAACAAAGTTTGAAAACGCTCTGCAAGAAGATAAGGAAGAAATAGAAATAAGAGTGAAACGGAATGAAAATTTAATTAAGGAAATAAGACACCAAAATAGAGTCGGAGAAACAAGAGAAATAGTTATCCAGAATTCCGGCGAAATAAAAATACAGTTTGGCGGGGATGTAAGAAAACTACACCCCGTACCGTTCATGAATAATCTAAAGAAGAAGATACAATACATGGGAAATTTTGAGACAGCTAAGGAAGTTATCAGAAATCATCTCAAAGATGAGGCAAGTCTATGGTTTGACAGCAAAGTGGAGGAATTTGAAAATTGGCAAGAATTTGAAAACAAATTTCTGAGTTTTTTCTGGGGAAAGACAGAGCAATTACAGATAAATAAGGAATTGCAAAATGGGAAATACCATGAGAAGATGGGTATATCAGAAAAAACATACGCATTGCAAATGTACAATAACGCAAAACATCTGCAATACAATTATTCATCTCAGCAATTAGTCGAGTTGATTGCAAGACACTTTGAAGACACAATGGAAGACCACATAAATTTACAAAACTACAAAGATATCGATAGTTTATGCCAATTCCTACAAATAAGGGCATCACGGATACAGGAAAGAAGAGCAAGAAGGTCACAAGAGAATTATAGACATCGAGAAACTCAGGAATACAGAGAGAGAGGACAAAATTTTAGGAGGGATTACACTAGACGAGAATTTATTCCCAGGAGGGAAAACGAGAATCGGGAAAATAGAAGAGGAAATGATGATTTCAGAAATCGGCCATGGAATGAAGACAGATATCGAGAAAATCAAAACAGAAATAACACCCGCACATATCCAGAAAACAGAAATTACAATAGACGAAATGAACAGGAATATCGTGGAAACCGAAACGGATATGACAGACCAAAAGAAAATAGAAGAGAGGTAAATCATACACAAATAGAAGAAAATGAGGATGAAAGAAATAGAGATGAGAGAAGAAATACGGAAGAACAACAGTCGGTTTTTCACGAAAGCACCCACTAAAAACAAAAAACCAGGCAGGAATTTTTTGTCACCCGAAGGAATTCATTAAATTGGCAGGAAATAATGAGGAAAGAAGAGGAGTTAATTTAAAATTTGTAGATGGTTTCATTAACAATAGACCAATAAAGATTTTGATAGACACCGGGTCAGAAATAACCTTAATAAACAGAAAATTAATAGAAGAAGTACAGTTGACAAATTTAATATACAAAATACCAAGGGTAAATTTGGTGGGTGCGAATAAACGGATTTTGGCAACGATAAATGAAGGCATACGAGTGATGGTACGACTGGATAAAAAAATGTATGCATTACAATGTGTAATAATGCCAAACATGTCGCATGA